TCTAATGCTTCCAGGCTTTCAATGATAGTCTAACATTGACCTATTCATGATATTAATCTAAACTTAATAGTTGAGATTGTATCAAAGGACTTCATTTATAAAGATGCATAAAGATTACTTTTGTTTATTTTGTTTATTACAAAACATATTCATGATTTAAATTATTTAACTAACTTGTTTAAACATGAAACCATCATAGATATTGTCTAATTTATACATTTATACATCATTCTAATTGTAAGCATATTCATTCATTGATCTATCATTATGAATATGTAATTGTAAATGTTTTAATTCATTATGAATGATATGAATGTTCTGGTTGATAGTTGTTTATTAATATTCATTTCAGATGAAATAGACTAATTGGTGAATATTGAAAAAAGAATATCTTAATACCAGGTCACCTATCGTTGATTGATTGGTAATCATTTGAAGTTAGTTATTCTAGAACAGTTTACGTCAGCTAGTTAGTCAATTAGTCAGTCAATTACAACGTAGGACTAGGCACATATATGGGTCGGTCTAAGTTGCCATACCTCATTAGCACAACAAGATGAACATTGGATTCATAGAATTAGTTGGTTCAGTGGTGGTAATATATAAAAGAAATAGTTTGTATCAGGATATAGTACAGGGAGAAATAATTAGTTCGTAGAAAGAAAGATATAAAGCGATTTTAATCTCTTAGTTTAAGGAAAGACAGAGAGTGTATACACCGACACCATTGTGATCGATTCTGAGCCATGTCACCAAGAGTCTTCAACCATTGGTTACGATAGTCACGCGTACCTCAACAAAGTAATCTGCATCTACCAACATGGCTCAGATTAGACGTTAGTGACATCAAGGACTGATGCCACGTTTTGTTTTAGCCACCCCGAACAATTTACGTGAAACAATATCATTATGGATAGTACCATTGAAAATTTAAATGAAACAGTAGTATAGTGAATGATATCTGAATTATTATGGTTTTTCTTTTTTCAAAATAACCTAATCTTTACAAACTCTTTTATCTCTGATTCATTGAAAATATCGTTCAAATATGATTTATCAGGTTAAATGGATAGTCTCAAAGAAAGTTACTTACTTCCTTACTTACGCCCGTTACTCTTAATGGAGCAAAGGCCGCCAACCAACATTCTCCAACCCACCCTGTCCTGGGCCTTCTTTTCTAGTTCCATCCAATTCTTGTTCATTTTTCTCATGTCTATCTCCATTTCCTGGCGTAATGTGTTCTTTGATCTTCCTGTTTTCCTTTGACCTTGAGGATTCTATGTGAGGGCTTGTAACAATAAGAAAATATCATGGATTAGATCTAGCTTTATTTCTGTATTCTTGTCCATTTCACTTTTTAAGTATTCTTTGTTAAGTGACCATTTTATTAAGACACTTTTCATTTGTCTTTTGAACTGTCGTCGGTTAACTGACTTATAAAGTACATACAAGTTAATACGTTTATCCTATTCGACACTTATAATATATCATCACATATTGATTGATATGACATTATGTTAAAGTAAGAATAAACATGATTATTCAACTGAGGTAAATGACGTCATGAAGAGGAGGAATTCGGTCGACCAAAACCATCCAGCTCTGACAACAAAACTCCATCAACATCATCCCCCTGAGCTACGAATCTTCTCCACCATCTCGAAGAGGAGTTTTGTTTTGTTTACGATGTGTTTAGTTTGTTTTTATAAATATGGTATCGTTATGACCTCTTCACAGTAGATACGATTTCTTGATATATTAGTTTTTTACTATTAATTATTAATTATCATATGAGAAGGATGAACAACAACTGGAAAGAACTGGAAAGAATTGCACAGGATAGGGTTGGATGGAGAATGCTGATGAGCAGCTTATGCTTCTCCACGATGAGTAACAGGCGTAAGTAAGTATGTAATGTTTATTTACCGCTGAAAATTCAAAATAATTCATTATTGTGGTTTATGTGGCTTTACAGTCAATGATGATAAATAGCAATTTGTACTTATTAAAACTTCCAGTGTTAAAGAAATACCTATTTGAATATAAAATATACCGATTGTAGTATATAATCGATTATTTAATGAGGTAAAACGTTTTCCATCTAAGATTTACATTCCTGCTGCTACCTAGTGGTAAAACAAACTTAATAGTCAGCTTATGTTCCTCCATGCGCGTTAATAGCAGTAATTCCAGAACTGAGATGTAATACAGAGCGAAATCACTATGTAACATACATCTACGGAATGTCAAATAGACATGCTGTTTGTTTGACAGGAGTTGTTTACTGACCTTTATGTTTGGAACTCCTATAGATTTTAATGCTAATCATACAATATATGCTAAGATAAATCCTGTTTTTGATCAATTATGAATAAAATTAACTCTGATTCAAACAATCTTATAACAATTTTTATCTTCAGAACAAGTTCGAAATAGGATTTCGTATAATTTCTCTACATCCACCAACGTGTAAACAAATACTCAAATCGATTATAATGTTACTGGAGTCTATCCAATTTTTCGCTCTTTAAAGTGGCAACATTCTTTTATTTTGGTTTATTCTTTCATATAATGATGACACCACTTAAGAACATGAGTCAATTAAAGCTAGACTACCATAGAAAACCTGGAAGCATTGGACATCATTTCTGTCCTAACTTCAATTGACTCATGAACTCAACTATGAAAAATTACTATAAAATTCACAAAACCCCTTCTGATATTAATCAACATATGATAAATAGTGACTGAATTCAACTGGTATCTCCTGGAGTTCCAGTGAGAAGCAGTAACCGCTGGATTTCAACCGGGTATGTTTTGAGATAATAACTGAAAAAGACAATTGTAGATGTGTCGCTCAATTTCGTGGATTAGTTGAAGTTAGACATCAACATCGTTGAATGCCAGCCGGCTCAATGGTCTATTGGTTATCGCTCACTCGCGAAACCCACAGATCTTTGATTCGAAATTCGTGAGACAGGATTGTGATCTCAACTATTACAATTACAATAAGAAATCTATCATCAAAGATATAAAAACTATTAGCCTGTTGGTGATTCCTTTTTTTTCTTTTTTCTTATTTCTACAACGTGAGTAAATCAAATAAATTCACTATAAAAAAGAATCAATATTTCTCTATTTCTCTCATTCTTTTTGTGTATCGTTTTCTTATTAGATTACATATGTATGTATATGCATGTTTTGCTTACATCATCATTATTTCAGTAATGGTGAACATGCATATAGTTTCCATGAAAAAGATTAGAAATTTTTTTGAATGTTTAATCAATCACTAAGTGATCATTAAATTATATGAATCGATAATTATGTACCTTCTTTTTATAACAATTTACCTGTTAAAAGTAAATATTTGTTATTTATTATCAAAGATTCAATGAATTAGCGAGGTTTTTTATAATCTTCAAGACTATTTACGATTAATTCCTTGATTACTTCCTTCCTTCCTTCTTTCCTTCCTTCCTTCCTTCCTTCCTTCCTTCCTTCCTTCCTTCCTTACTTACTTACTTACTTACTTACTTACTTACTTACTTACTAACTTACTTACTTACTTAAGTCTGTTTTCCTTAATCGAAGAGCATAGGTAATGTGGATAATAGGATTACTGAAAATAAGAAACAGTAGACAAATATTTCTTCATTTTTTTAGGATGCTTCGCCAATGCACATTTAAGAACTAAATGGAACCCAGAAAATTGTTTATGTAGGCTAATTTTAAAGTTAATAACAATATCATAATTCCATATAATGAAATCCATATTTTATTTCTTTTTGCACTAATTATATATCATACAACATAACATGTATTATTATCACAAGGTGTTTTGTGGATATTGTAGTAATTTTTTAATAGTTGAGATCATGAATCAATTAAAGCTAGACCGACATGGAAAATCTGGAAGTAATGGATGGCCGTTTCATCCTATTGTAGGACTCTTCAGCAATGTGCATCCACAGCCTCGCCCTGAGACATTCAAACTCAGAACTTATCAATCCTATCAGTTCTAATCACTTTTATTTTGTGTAAAATCTTTGTATAAAAGTCGATTATTTTTGTTACATAAAGCGAATCACTCTGCCGACTAACCGTCCTTTTATTTTTTGTTGACATTATTCACTGGGTCATTCTGTTAATAATCCGTTTTTCATTAGTAGTCATGATATAATTTTCAACAACTGCTGGTCAATTTGAAATCAGACAATCTATTCTTTGTTCTAACACACAGAGAAGGTTAATCATAGCTTGAATAGCTCAGTGATAACGTCATATATTTTGAGGTAGAATTATTCAGGTTCAAATCCAATAGTGGAAACAATAGTTTACTTATTTGTTGTATTAACAAATGTGAACTAGCGAAAAATCCAAGTCTTAGGTTTCTAATCAATGAATCAATCAAAGAAATATATTGAAGATCTTAAAATATCCACAATCCAACAACAACAACAACAAAATGATTCGAAAAATAAACATTTGGAAGGTTCATTGAATTTCTGAAGTATAATTCAAATGTAGTAAAACATTTTGTTTTGCCATAAAACATTCATCATTATTTTCACTTGGTATTCATTACTTAGATCTTCCTGTTGATGTTTAAGATTACAATTGATCAGTCTCCTACTGTCATATGTGTATACTATGCGTATAGCCTCGATTAAGCCTTCATTCACAAGCATTATATACAAATATGGATAGTGGCTAGCAATGGAATCCAGTTTGACCCATGTTTCGTCCTATTTGAGACTCGTCAGCTGAATGTACCTACATCTCACAGTTGATGTTCATTCTGTAGCTAAATGGATAATGTGATACTGGATTCGAGTCTCAGAGTGAACATTAACTCTGTGATGCAGGCACATCCATATGACAAGTACTGAATAGGACGAAATGTGCATCAAACTGTATTCCATTGCTATTCACTATTCATCTTTGCTTATAATTCATAATGATCTTTTAACTTATTAACACATATAAAAGAAAATCAATTATCAGTGGAATGATATTGAAAAACAAAAAAAAAATCAATGAAGATGTAAAAATACAAATGCATATTTTTCATGTTTTTTGTTGTTGTTTTCTTCATGTTCATATTGGTGACTCTAAACAACAACAACAAAAGCAACAACAACGACAAAAACAACAAAATAGTAACACCATGAAATCATTATTAAATGTACAAGTTGTTTTCCTTTTTTTTAATTTTTTTGTTTTGCACATTTTTTATTCTCATGATTACGTAATAGTTGAAATCTCATAGTTACATAACTGATAGAAAAATACAAAAAAATAATTAGTATTATTATAATACAATTATGATGTTATAATGATTTATACAAAAGGATTGAATGATTTCCAAGGAAGAAATAGATGAATTTATTTGCTTCATGGGATACAAAACTAAAAATTAAAAAAAAGTTTTTTTTTGTTTGTTTTTTAAATGAAGGAAAAAAGAAGAAACTAATTAAATCGATATTATCAATAACAAAAAATGGGGATCTAATATTGAATTGTCAATTGAACATGGAGAACAACAACTTGGCAACTTACTTGAACATTTGGGTTATTTATTCTTGTTACCTAAATATTTCAATAAATAATTTACCTTTTGTTTGTTTTAATCTATCATTATATCTATTCTATATGATATTGACTATCTACAGTGTTCCTGAGGAGATAGTCAATATCATACGGATTTCATATGATGGATTAAAGGTGCAAAAACAAATGCATGCAGTACAGCTAACAGAGTCGTTCAATGTAAAGACTGATGTCAGACAAGATTGCTTACTCTTACCCTTTCTCTTTCTCCTAGTGATCGACTGGATCATGAAAACGTCAACATCTCTGGAGAAGCATGGGATATAGTGGACGGCTAGGATGCAGCTGGAAGATCTAGCTCTACTATCACAAACACATCAAGAAATGCAAGAGAAAAATTCCAGCAATGTGTATCCACGACCTTGCCTCACGAGATTCAAAACCAAAACATATCAGTCTCGTGTGCTAGCGCTTAACCACTGGACCACTGAGCCAGCATCCAATGATGTTATTTTATTCATAAGTACTCATCGTATCATTTTATTTACTTTTTACACCTTTATGATCTTTAACTTCATATCTCACAACATAAGTTTATTTGTAGTTTATGTTGATAATGTTATGTAGAAAGACAACAATAGCTTCATAATTAAATTACTTAATGGAATTTCTAATATGAACCATAAATCTTTGTTACTAACTCATCATAATGTAACCATAGAATCGGTGATATTCCATAATATTGTAACAAATCACTTATTAAATGTACTAAAGTATTTGTTGATTTCAGTGATGTTGAGTGGTGTTGTAGATATGAGAGCAGTTATCACTTCCTAGTTGCCCACACTGTGAACGAGTTCATTTGGAGGTACCTTAAAAGGAAATTTAGTTACAAATGATCTTAGTGACTTGAGAGCGTGACCGCAGTACCCAAAGGACAACTACTTAAAGTCGGTCTCACACGACCTTCTTGTGAGTAATTTTTGTGTTAGCTTCGTACTTATTGGAACCTTATCGCTGGAGACGAAAATCCATAGAATAAGGGGAGATGTGTATTTTTAGGATCGATCATTTCTAACTCCGCTCCTCCTTGCGGGAATTCAGCATCGCTGTTACGCTGGTTGTCTGAAGGAGACACCTTACCTGTCTGTGATGGTAGAACCTTGAGAAACGATTGTTCCAGCCAGTATAGCTCGATTGGTTCATCATGATAGGCAAGCCCGAACATCACATTAAGGTAGCAGCAACGGTCGGGATCTGTCGGTTTGATTAAGAACAAATGTTTTATTGCACATAGACAAATTTGCCAGCAACTTAACCTAACATTTACTTAGCTTCTAAGTCATGGTTGCCATTCCAGTTCTAACAAGGGTGATGTATATTTAAATAGTGATTAGAAATGTATTAAAGGAAGGATGTTTCATCCAATATAGTAATCGATATGTAAATTCCATTACAATCCGTAACTAAAATATCCAATTATGATAACTATAATATATTCAATGAAAATAACCATAATAATAATAAAAGGGTATTTTAAAAAATGTACACACACACACATACTTACCTAGAAAATGTTCCACCAACTATACAATGCCAATAAGGTTTATGTTTATGATCAAATTGTATTTTAATATATCTTGCAATTTCTTGTTCAGTATTATGTTCATCAATTGCATTTGCAGCTATATAGACAGCATCCTCTTGCATAGCACGATTCATATCAGCATCTTTAACCATGGCTACTATTTCTTTCATAATATTATTATGATGATTATTATTGACTATATATATATATATATATATATTGGATAAACTTTAATATTTTAATATTGATTTATAAGGAAGTTATCAAGGGATAAATAAATGTGCTCAAGCGTTAGAAACTATACAATTATATATCTATTATCTATACCTATCTATCTATCTATCTATCTATCTATCTATCTATCTATCTATCTATCTATATATCTCTCTATATATAGCTGATTGTAATTGCTTCCCAAACAAAACAATTTGATTTACTCAGCACAATTGTGCAACAGAACTACACAATGAAGGGTGTAACCAATCATTAAATGTATATATAGATAATGTTAACTTAATTATTAAGTTAAGGAGAAAACAAAACAACAACAAAAATAGAAGAAGAAAGAAAGAAAGAACTCAACACCTTATGCTTACACAATTGATGTGTACAAATAAATAATGTAATTTGTTGATAGACAATAAAACAAACAAAAAAATGTAAACTATCTTACTAATAATATAAGCGAGTACATTCTATAGGATAAAATAAAAGTATTTATTAGAATGGTAAACAATTTGAACAATACAGATAAGGTGTGATTAATGAATATCAACTTAAAGTAATTCAATATATAGTGAATTGTTCATTGTGCTCATTATTAATGTCGATAGTTATCCAGGAACGAAACCCTTTGACTTGCTTTAGTATATACATACATGTTTACTATATTGGTATATAATGTATGCGACGAAATCTAAGCACGGATAGAGAAGGCTCGAATAACTTTTGCTAACTTGCGTCATTTATGACGTAGGCAAGATATCAACCAAAAGATGCGTTTACTGTGTAGCAATTCGTTCCGCCCTACTTTATGGCTGTGAAACATGACCGGTAAGAGTAGAGGATATCAGTAGGCTATTAGTATTTGATCATACGTGTCTTCGAAACATTGCTTGTATATCCTGGGATCAACGAGTAAGTAACGCAGTTGTTAGGAACCAGGTACTAGGTATGAATAATAAATCAACTAATGAAGAAGTGAAACTTCATCAGTTGAGATAGCTTGGACACGTGTTACGTATGCCCAACCACTGACTGCAACGACGTGCGGTGTTTCATGATGTAGGAATAGGTTGGAAGAAAACTAGGGGCAGTAAGATCAAAACATGTCACAAGTCCATGAGGTCACTGACAAGTGGACTGTGTGAACCATGATGGTAGGTGTAGATTAATTGATTGGGATCTGCGGGATGATGGCAATCGATGGTTAGAGACCTTGAATAACATGGCTCAAACACACTATTCTGATGATTGGAATCAGACATTAAAAGAATGAATAGGAACTGGAAACATTTGAAAGGGATTGATCAAAATATAGTTGTTTGGAGAATGCTAGCTTACGACCTATGCTTCACCACAAGAATTAACAAGCGTGAGTTATAAGGGATCCAAATGACTGTCAACAAACATAGTTGTTAAGTCGAAATGAATACCTGAAAATCAGTCTATTAAAATTAAATTGTCTCATATATTACATAATATTCCGATTCATTTTTTGTATGTTGCTTTATTCATCTTAATTATTTGTCATATAATAAAGAAATCTCGGTGAGACTATAATTTATGGACGAACCAATCAGGTATGAGATTACAGGTCACAAATTTTGATGGAGATTTGTTCTTTGACCAAGGTCAGGATTTTCAATACAAATATCAACACACTTCTACTGTATGGGGCGGAAACCTGGAGAACCACGAAAGCAATCATCCAGACAATACAGGTGTTTATTAACAGTTGTCTGCGCAAAATACTTCTGATCCGTTGGCCGGACACTATTAGCAACAACGTACTGTGGGAGAGAACAAACCAGATCCCAGCGGAGGAGGAAATCAGGAAGAAGCGCTGGAAGTGGATAGGACACACGTTAAGGAAAGCACCCAACTGCGTCACAAGACAAGCCCTCATATGGAATCCTCAAGGCCAAAGGAGGAGAGGAAGACCAAAGAACACATCATGCCGGGAAATGGAAATAGACATGAGAAAAATGAACAAGAATTGGATTGAACTAGAAAAGAAGGCCCAGGACAGAATGGGTTAGAGAATGTTGGTCGGCGGCCTATGCTCCATTAGGAATAACAGGCTTAAGTAAGTTGTTCTTTTACTAAAACATTCATCTCAAAGAACGAAACCCCATCAAAATCATCCACTTGAGCTACAAATCTTCTCTACCAGGTCTCGGATGTTAAATAGAGTTTCGGCATTTTAACTGATATCAATTTCGTGATGAAAACCCTGAATCCAATTCCTCACAATCTTTTATAACTCTCATTTGGTCTTATTTATTATTAGTAGGTGAACATTTTCAAAGTCACTTTACCATCACCTAATGATCGTCCATAAGTGATAGTCTCATTGAAATCTCTATTCATTTAATCCATTTGTTAATAATTAAATGAAATAGAATTTATATTAAAAAAAATGAATATACTACTTACTCTCTACTCAAATCAAATCAAATAATCTTGAAGAAAATCACTTTGTTTTTTTTCTATGAAAGTATTCTATCCTTACATAGAACTACTTATATATAATCATACTATAAATGTATTTAATCTATAAAACACGTAATCATAATTAGTATCTATTCTGGTGTATAATTATTCGTTTGTTCATAGTAATTAATTAACACCTCTTCAACATTATTATGTAATAAACAAAGAAGATTAAATTTCTTCTTTTTTTCTTTTTTTTTAGTATTGTAAAGTTGCATTATTGATTATTGTGATTAATTTCATATTATGATGATGACAGCTATTTCTCTTTCTTTTTTCTCTCTTTTTTTTGCTTTTAGTTACTAATTTTAGAAAATCTTTCAATCAAATAAATGACATGGTTACTAGAATCAAGTAAATACGAGTAAGTAAAAATAATAAACGTATATTGATTTGTATCACATAAGGGGTGTTGTGGAGATTATGAGTCAATTGAAGTTAGATCATCATGGAAAATCTGGAAGCAATGGACGACTTTTTCGTCTGTAGCATAGCGTCGAGTCGCTGTTGGCTATGATCACCACTACAAGAAGACTACGTGCCAGTTAACCTATAAAATCCCCCATAGACCAAATATCAGATGGCAGTTGATGGCTGTGGTCGAGATGTATTTGTTGGCAATCTCGTGGTATCGAAAGAATACCGAGATCGTGACAGGTTACAAGTATGATTACTGAGCGCAACCGAAGTCGTGCAATGTCACAATCAAAGGTAAAAAGAATGTATGTGTTTTGGTACAGTTAAACAAACAAGTACAGTAAAACAATCACTGGTACAGTTGGTTATAATAATTGTTTCCATTAAACCAATCGCGTTCTCTTGATAAATGTAGGTCACTACACGTTGTCTTGTGGGACTCTTCAACAGTGCACATTTACGACTATGCCTTGCGAGATTCGAATCTAGGATCTATTGATTTAATTGAAAAACGGTTTTGTTTTTACATGCAACTCAATAATCTAATCCCTAGTGCTGAAAACAAATTTTAATTCAATTGGAATAAAATGTTTTTCTTAGAGAATTTGAAACTTCATTTTACGTAATGTTTGGAAAGTGGAGCGCTGAATTGTGAAACTAAATAATTTGGGGGGAGTTTTTGAACTCTTCCCGGATGTAATGAAAGTTTAATCTTAATATCTGTAGTATAGAAAGATATCGTCAGTTGTTAGTCTAATCATGGTGTTTTCGAAATGGACAATGGAACAGTTAATTAGAAATGAAATGATTAGTGTTTTCATTAATACAAAGTCAGTTTACCTACGAAATTCATCATTTAGCTTCAACTGGATGTCCAAACAACATCAAAAAAGTAACTTTTTCAGATGATGCCTTAGAAAACCGACATCATGTCTATTGCTTTTAATGTGTCTACATAGGATGAAGGTGTTTACGTGTTTTTTAGACAGGACAATAATGAGATAACATTTTTTGGTCACGCTGATATCAGATTTCATAACTGAAAATTTAAATAAGTGAATAGTATTGACTTTGTTGTGCTGATCCTTCACTGGTTGCAAACGTTCTGTTATTGTGTGTGCTACTGATGTCGATAGATACAAGTAGTATGTACCATCAGTCGAAAGTGAAATGTCTGGCGGAAGTAGGTTAAGAAGATCGAAAAAAAGGACGGGAACAGGAAATGATTGGTGTAGAAGTGAAGGAATAATCAAATCTGAAACGTTTAGTTGATATTTTGCAAATGAAGTATTTACTGCATTATTTTCAGATTTTATTAAAATGATCTGTAATTTTATGTAAAACTACACTTAGATGTCCCAAGTTGTGTTCTCGTTCAATGCACTGTCAGTCATTTAGCAGTAGGAAATATGTGAGGCGAAGAGAAGCAATTTTCTTGTGTAGTTCAAAGAGGTGACATAGCCGAGCGATAAAAGACCAATATGGTTTAATGGATACGTAAATGTCTAGACTAATGACTGACTCATCTTTTATACTCCTCAGGATTTTTTGTTAACTGATAGACAGTTTGTTCTGAAACATCTTTGAGAATGTTTTCCCGAAAGATTTTATTGGTATCCGACAGAATGTTAGATGCTTTGGTAATATAGTCCTCACGGAATTTCGGACTTAATGATAATACTTATAACAACTCACGTGCGATTGAGTTTGTTCTCATTTAACACTGGACAACTAGAGAAAAAACATTACAAAGGTTTGGTACAGCTTATCTTCGAAATACTGATAAACTTAAAGAATCCTAGATAGGTCTCAGCAGTAGGTTTCAAGCCTTACAAGATCTACTCAAAGGAGAAGAAACTACTATGGAGGACAACTGGGAAGGAATCAAAGAAACTGTAACTTCAACGTGTCAGGAGGTGCTGGGCCACAAGAAGCATCGTCATAAGGAATGGATCATAATAGAAACCCTGGACACAATTCAAGAAAAGAGTAAGAAGACAGCAATTAACAACAGCCAGACAACAAAGAGAGAAAGTCCAGGCACAAGCTGAATACACAGGAGCAAACGACCGGAAGGTCAAGTCAAGGACAAAGAAGGCAATAAAATCACCAAGATTCAAGAACAGGATAATTGAATTCAGCGCATATCGAAGCAGCACACAAAGACTTTCCTATGGACGTCACCTCACCAACGATCAAAGAAATCGTGATGGTCATTAGATAAATCAACAGTGGAAAAACAACAGGACCTGACAATTTACCAACTGAAGTACCAAAGTCAGACAGTGAAGTAACTGAGAACGTGCTACACGTTCTATTCAGGAAGATTTAGGAGGAAGAACAAGTCTTAACCTACTGGTAAGAAGGACACCTTGTAGTGACTCACTTTTGTCACGAGAACACGATTGGTTTATTGAAAACAATTATTATTATAACCAATTTTACCAGTGACTGTTTTAATGTGCTTTTGTTTGACTGTGCTAATGAGAGCTATATTGTGCTTCCATTCTTATTCTTACACTTTGATTGTAATTTCGCGCGAAGTCGGTTACGTTCTGTAACCAAGCTTCTATCCTGGCACGATCTCGGTATCCTTTCGATGCCACGAGATCGCCAGCGAATACATTTCGATTTGGTCCATTAATTGCCTTCTGATATTTGGCTTCTCGGGGATTTTATGGAGTCATTTGGAACGAGGTTCTTGGTAGCGGTGTTCATAGTCAATCGCCACTCGACGCCACGCTACAATCTAAACAAGATTACAAAGATTACAAAGTGTGAGAACTACTGAGGCATCACATTACTGTCAGTACTAGGAAAACTTTCCAACAGTTTTGCTGAACCGGATAAACGACTCAATAGACATCCAACGTCGAGATAAACAGACTGGATTCCGTAAGGATCGGTCATGTACAGACCAAATTACGACACTATGGATAACCATTGAACAATCAATTGAATGGTATCCGTCGTTATACATCAAATTTATTGACCGTGAGAAGGCGTTTGACAGCGTGGGTAAGAGAATATGATGGAATCATCCACGGTACTAAGTAGTGAGTAGCCGAGAAAATCGTTAACATCATAAGGAATTCATATCACAGACTACACTGCAAAGTGGTGCACAGAGGACAATTGACAGACGTATTTCATGTGGGGATTGGAGTCAGAAAAGCTGCTTAGTATCACCCTTTCTATTTCTTCTGGTGGTCGATACTTAAGATATTATCATTTTAGCCAGAGAGATAAATGAATAGGCTGTTATCTGATCAAGAGTACACTCTTTTAAAGATAAGACAGTGATCACACTATTGCAAAGAAATATGTAATTTGTTACTTTTTGAATAAAATTGTCTGTTAAGTAAACTAACAATAAGAGTTTATCCAAAATCAACCATAAACGTTATTGCTAGTTTGATAGTTGCTATAAGTCGATAGAGAACTACAGATCCAGGGTTTATCACATACTATCGAACGTCTGGTCTAGGACATCTCTAAGACGACAGTCAGATTTGTATTAAGCGCATTGAATTGTTCACTACCTACTTGCTGTAATTTAAACAATTAACTTACTATGAAGAAGCATGTATTAGTCTGACTGAACGTATGTCTGCAGCTCAACCGTCATCTATCCTCTCACGAGTTGTAAGAAAAGACAACCGATAACTTATGTACAATTGACTAAAAATCATAAAATATCAGTAGTTGAAGTCATGAGTTAATTGAAGATAGGCCGACATGGAAAACCTGGAATAACTGGACTGTCGTTTCGCCCTAGCATGGGACTCATTAGCAGTGCGCATCGACAATCCCGCATCCCGCGAGATTCGGACCCAGAAACTATCAACCTCATAAAATACACATAGATATTTCTAGTTATTGCTTATACACACACACTCACTTTCCATATTGCCCTTTTTTCTCGTACTTGTAAATTTTAATGATTATTACCACTACACCTTCCAAACAACCTGTGTTCTGGCTTTTGAGTATACTCAAGTAAATTCACAGCACTGCTAGTAAAGGTGGTCCCTTAAAATGCTTAGTTAACAGGACACCACATATTGGAGTTAAATGAAGATGATCTAAACTCTACAGATTGACTCAGTCTGTTGACATAACTCAGTTCTGTAGTCAACAGTTATGTGAGCTAATGTCGGTTTTCGGCTTAAACTCAACCGACTCTTATCGAACATTGTCAACAAGGTAAAAGTGGCTATGGATGTGCAGCAAGTCCCGAACATCTTGGTCGACAAAGGATTACACCCTTATCAGCTGATCTAGCATATCTCAGTGTTACCCTTTATCATACCTCAAGGGTGTTAATCTGACTATTCAACAACATAGGGGTAGTGGTTCGGAAACACTGTAGATTTAAATCTGCAGCTTACACAAATACTATAATTTCATAGAACATTTCTTCATGTAACGAGATAGACCAAAGTATTAAGTTTCAGTTATCGCCGCACGACTCATTTTAAATCTACTTTGGTGGTAGCAACAATATTGTGCTACATGTGATCTGCTTCATGAGAAAATTCTAGTATGTTAAAAGTCTTCATAATTCATCAAAACCCTGAAGATGCTACAGGTATTCGGAGTTTAACAACGCATTAGTACGTAACATCTCCTTAATCCAAGTATGCTAATTCAGTCAAATCAGAAGTCTGAAATGGAGATTTTCAAAGACATATTTAAAAGGTTCCCGATATATCGCGACGCGCTTAATGTAAGCTTAATGTAAGTTGTAACAGATGAGAAGCATGACGTACCTTTTGTGATCTGGTCTGGATGCGTGACTGAGCGTCTTCAGCTAGATATGTCCATTAAAACTAATGAGGTCAATATCAATGTTAGAAGCACACGGAACTATTTATTTTGGAGACTTATCGCCACAACCCGATACATATCATACTAACTTCATATGCATTCTAGGGCTTATCAAGTATATTCAACATTGTATCAAGTATGGAATATAAAATAAGCTTAGCTGTGCAGCGGAAAATAAATCCCCAAAATAAATAGCTCTGCACGTCTTTGACATGGGATGCTGACAACATGTTTTAACGGACTCACCTAGCTAAAGGCGCTCGGTAATGCATCCGCACTAGATCATGAGTGGGAACTCCGTGTTCAACAACCCCTGCAATCTCCAGCCAGATTAGGTCAGACGATCCTCGATATATTGATAGCATATCAAATACATCTTCAAGATTCCTCGCTTCTGTCTTTTGGTTTCAGTTGGTGGGTACGCTTCATATTAGAAGGTGTTACTGGTTAAGGCGTTGTCAAACTCTGAATACCTGTGGCATCTTCAGAGGTATCATTTCTCAGCCATTAGTTTTGATGGAGCGAACTTGTGATACTAAAGAAATAAACGTATTGAGTGTAATTATCCTCAGAGAACTTCTACTGTCACTTATTCATTGAGGTTATATGTAGTCACGTACTTAGTACAACTTATTGCGAGAGAGGATTGGACAGCAGCATTAGAAAAAGGTCTGTCTGCCGATGCGATGTTCATAGATTTCAGCAAAACATTTGACAGAGTTTCACACTTACATCTTATGCAGAAGCTCACGAGCTTCGGAATAATAGGTACTGTACAGAAGTGGATAGGATACTTCTTATGTTACCACAGACAGAAAGTGAGGGTCAATGGAACGCTATCCGATTGGAAGCCGGTCAAAAGCGGTGTACCCCAAGACACCATTTTATGCCCTCTGCTCTTCCTTCTCTACGTTAACGAGTTGCCGCTGTTGCTCAGGTCCACGACGCTATTGTTTGCGGATGACGTGAAAATCTGGAGAGCAATAAAAAGTGAGGCTGATCATCTGGATCTTCAAGCTGACTTAGACGACTTGGTTAGATGGGCTCGAGGTTGTGGCTTAGAAATCAATTCTAGGAAAAGTTCGCTCATGCACATCGGTCACGGTAATAGTTACCATTATACTACTGATGGTAAACCTCTGCAGTGTAATTGGACCGTAACCACACAATGTTCAAAGCTGAACACGAGACTACTCGGAAAATATATATTCAGTATTTAACGCGGAGAAATACCTATCGACGGAGAGGGCGGGAACAGGGAATTGAATTAAGTGGAGTTGATCCTATGGCATGGCTCGGCTATGCACGCGTGGTCCCTGCTGAATGTTACCTCATATCTTTTATTCATATCAAATTTATTGTTCTATCTTTAGCCTAAGTTTGTTCTCTATCATGTATTGGTAATTGTTACGATGTAGTGAGTTGGTGTAGAAGATGATGTGGCTTCCACGTGAGATCTTATAGATTAGGCAGTTATATCATGACAAATCCGCAATTATAGGATTAGGTCTATAATTAGAGCAATAATAATCTCCGCGGTCATAGCAAGAAGGTTCACAAACCGCGATCTGATAAACTTAAAAAGGGGTCCCGTCTCATCGAGGAGCCAATGATTGGAACGCCTTATCCGAACAAGTGGTATCAGCGCTATCAGTGAATATTTTCAAGGAGAAACTGAACCTTCACTGGAATGCAATCTGCCAGGATTAACACAAGTTAACCAAACTACTAAATTTATTACTGAAGACTGAAGACTATAGGTGTCATTTAATTTGGACCTAGCTCTTAACCTTTAGTAAACTAGAAATTTAATATCATTATGTAATTAAGCGATCAATGGGGATGTTGTTTCATGGAACCACATTTCCTCAGTCTAGAAAAATATCCAGTATTTAATTTTGTTTTAATCTTCCCCTTCCAACGGCTGTCATAGAAACCAAAAAGTTGTTTTTAAGAATTCATGTATGTGAAATCGCTAAGTAACAACTATTTCCTCACCTGTCCAGATGTTTGTCATTTTTATCATACATATTCAATGTGCGTTAAAATTACATTTCATACAGACCACTCATCATAATCATCCGGATACGTGGGTTATTTGAATTCTAGCGATATTAAATGTAGAGAACCGTTTGTATATATGAACTTTTAGATAACGTAAAACAAGCAAATTCGGACCCTTTGAGAATAAAATTTTTGTTCATGTGCATATTATGTGTTAGAAGTGGGTAAGTTGAATTAGATTAATTAGGATTTTGAAGGAACAAGGAAATGAGTGATAGTACCTTATGTCTGCTTTGATTTAATTTTTTAATTTATTTAGCTTCACGTCTTGCAGTTTTTAAGGTTATTCATCAAAAGAGTATTTTGTTGATCATGATGAGTAAATTTCTTACCAAGTATCTTTAACGTGAATGAGTTTTTAAACTAATTTAAATCAGTATTACTCTGAATATTATTGGTTTGACAAGATGAAACACAGTTGCTTTGCTTTTAGCAGTTAAAATGCTTCCAAATGGTAGTATGTATGACGTACAATGCTTCAATAAATTTTCTAAACACTAGTCCTCAGCCTACTTAATTAATTATTTCAATCTACTGTCAATTTCGAAATTTCTACACTCTTCTGTATTAACTCCAAAAATATGATCCGTACTTTCGGATAAATTTCCAAAACCAACTACGTTTAATCGCACTTATGACGAAAATTAAACCTCATCTTTAACGTGGCCCGACTAAAGTGGTACTTTGATAACTTTAACCATTTTGCTTACTGTCAACTAGAAAGTTTCTTATCTTGTTCCTAATTTTTATAAATCACAAGTCCAGTGGGCTATGGTTAGACCGTAAAATAAATAAGCTTCTAAAAGATTATATTAAAGTCAAAAACACTACATAAGTTAAGGATACATTATCTTAGCCTGGGATCCATTCAGAAGGGGACGAGCAACTAGAACGCTAGTCACTCTAAATTGAGTGCATGATTCGCTTTTAGATTGCATGGCAATTTCTTCTGAGTTAGTAATCTTTTCTAGAATTTCAGAAGTACCTCTGTAGGACAGACTGTGTAAGTTGGATACTCAGAGACAACTCAAACGGTTGTGTTCATCAGAAAAACAACACTGTGTGAGGAGCATCAATTATTAGCCTTAAAATGTTAGTTTTAGTGGTTTGGGAAAGCTAAAATGTTAAAAAGTCATGAGAGATGAAAGACGAATTATTTAAAAAACCTCATTATCTTTTATGTATCAAGATTTTTGCCGTGTCTCCGACAATATTGTCTATTGCGTTGAAATTATGTAGATTCAAAAGCATAATTTGTTGGAACTTTTATTTACTTCATAGTTATGCTACGTTTAGTAAGAAAAATAAACTACGAAACTTTAAACCTTGATTGAGGTTGCTTATGACAAGTTGATTTACATATCAAAACTCAATGGGAAATCTCATCGATTATTTGATTTCTGCTTTTTATTTAAGAATATATACAGCTGTAAATATGCTGAAGATTTTTCATTGGCTAGCTTGAGTCCACACCACGGTATCGTTTAGTGGCATGGCATAGTAGCGTGGTTCTATGAATCTCAAGGTCCCTGATGTTAACTTACTAGTGATATAAATAAAGAAGTCATTAATTACTTCCGGATATGACAACAAAGTTATCCAATGCGTTTTAACACAAAAAAGGTCTTGATTGGCTTTTCCGTGAGAAAGAAAGCATCACGTGTTGACAAAATGTTTTTCTTTCATGTATTCCAAAAGTATAAGCAGGTGATAAGATTCTACACCTATGGCACCACACATAATCTAAAAGGGCATATAAAGATAGATACTAAATGACAGTAAAAATAGCCGTAATACGTGCATGTATATGAATATAGTGGGTTAAAAATTAAAGGAGATATATATTAGTAAAACCAAATTGTACATCTAAAATATTCTCATTCAACCTGACGTGCTCATAGGATCCTAATCCTTTCGATTTAAAACTAATACATCTTCCTGTCGTGTTAACTTATCGCTCCAAGTTAGTTCATGTTTGCTTTTAATCATTTTCCCACTTTTTCAAAGTAGTTTTACTAGGATTATTAAGATATTATCATACATATTTACCAAAATTGTCTAATCCTAAGACAGTTTACAATATCTACCAATTTAAGTCATAAAATCATTTGAAATCAAGCAGCGACAGGAAGTCGTTTTGTTCCATTTTGAGGCTAGATATTCATGCACATCCATGAATATACCGGAGACCGCACTCAGTAGTTCGAATCACTAGATCGTAACTCAGTGGTCCTCTGATTCTTAAATTTTTTAGTTGTTTAGCTGAAGTCACCTCAATTGTGCAATATTTAATAGTAAATTTTCTAATTTTGAGTAAGATTTATAAATGTCAATTTTGTAACTCTACATCATAGCTGTTAAGTTTGTCTTGATTTTCAATGGTTTTCTATCCATAATAACTTCATGATGTAGATTGTTACAAATTTTAACAGTTTTCTTAACTTCATTATATGTCAATTCATTTAACAACTTCAGGTTGACAAAAGTGATAAACTTTTAAAACTTTCACTAGATTTTGATTGTTTATCTAAGGCCCAGTCAACAACTACATGATACTATTTTTCTACTCAATCTGATAATGTTTACTAATCTTTCACATCTGTACATAAGGAAAATACTTAAACTACATTAACTGAATGGAAATTAATATCAGAAGGGGTTTTGTGAATATTATAGTGATTTTCTAATAATTGAGATCATGAGTCAATTAAAGATAGACCACTATGGAAAACGTAGAAGCATTGGACGGCCGTTTCGTCCTACTATGAGATGCCTCAGCAATATGCATCCACAATCCCGTCTCGGGAGTTTTGAATCGAGGACCTGTCGGTTTTGCGCGTCAACACTCAACCACTAGACCATTGAGCAGGCTGATATTCATTGATGTTGATGTCTAACTTCAACTAATCCACGAAATTGCGCGACCATATTCCATTGTATTGAGGTAGATGCCTGTTTCTACCCGACACGGATTAGCTTCACTGGTTACAGCTTCTCACTAGAACTCTGAGAATTCCTTCACGAATCCAGTCACTAGTGAGCACATGGTAATTATCAGTATAGAGTTGTAGAGATTATTAAGTTTTTGATTGAGATCAATCTCCATAACCTTACACTGATAAGAATTTTCTATGAATCTATATTAAATGTCAAAACGGCAGCAACAACACATGAACAATTATCTCTTCTCAATTATATTTAGGAATAACTTAATGTATGAATTCAGTAAATTACCAATTACCAAAAGACAAAAACAAAATACGAATATCGATGAAAATAACGAAGAAGAAGAAGAAGAAGAAGAAGAAGAAAAAGAAAATGAAGAAACAAAGTTTTTCATTGATTTTTATAAAACATTTCATCAAATTCAAATGAATCAAAGCTGGTTTCCAAAAGATCTACATGAATTTCTACAAGTTTATAATATAGTTAGTGATAACTCGAAAAAAAAATTTAAAAAAAATAAAATAAAAAAAGAATAAAGTTCATTCAGAAAAATAATAATAATTTTTCTTTTTTTTTTAGAATAATTTTCCAGTTTTAAATTTAAATGATAAAATTCCCGCTGAAAAAATTAATTCAATTACTCTAAATGATTTACATGGTCTTTTTCAATTTGAAATTGGTAAATTAAAATTTTTTTATTTGTTTATTTAATTCAATATTGAATAGATTCAAAAAATGTTATTGATCTAATTCAAAATATGGAGAAACAATTCAATAATGATTTTAAACAAATGAAAGATAAAATCAATAGTTTGAATATAGTTACTATATGATAGATAAACTTTACAAAAAAAACTATCATGATTGAATATTGATTTTAAAATGAGTAACCATATAGATATTTTTGTAGTTGTTATGTGGAAAAATAAAATAAAAATGATAAATTTGCTTAATTCTTGGTGAAATCAATAGTTCGCTATTTTGAAAAAAAATAAGTAAAGATTAAAATCAAATGTAGCAATTAGTACTTACTTACTTACTTACTTACTTACTTACTTACTTATTTATGACCATTATCTCTCGTCAAGGAGCATATGCTGTTGACCAACCTTCTCCATCCAAAACTATCTTAGGTAATGATTTCCATTTTTTCCAGTTGTTATTCATCTTTTTCATATCTGTCCCTGTTTTTCGATGTGATGTTTTCTTTGGCCTACCTCTTTTCTGTATCTATTTCAGGATCCCAAGTTAGGGATTACTTGGTGATACAGTTTATTGATTTCCTCAATGTATTTCTTATTCACTTCTAACATCTTTTCTTGAATTATAACTAGTGCACCTTAAAATGTATCATTAATCTTCTATATACTAGCAGGTGCAATATACTTTTGAATGATCTAACCAAAATGAAGATTACCATATTCAAGTTTTCGAAACTAACTACTGAGTTAATAAGAGTATTTGAAATCTTAAGGATGAAGAAATTCTTTAAATATTACAGGACAACGGGTGACATGTAGCACAAAATCTTGGTGTGGTGTTACCTATATTCATCTGCTTACCATTAGGAGATAGTTCACATTACTGTCTAACAGACTAGACCAGTCGCCACAATGCAACATAGTCAGTTAAATTTGATTAGCCTAAGGACTCTGTAACATTATACCAGCTACTGTGTAAAATTAAGTATATCTGAAATTGAAATTCAAAAGTAATACACTATTTTCTAACAATGGAGTTAGCTCTTTGCATAAGAAAGATATCTGCGAACGATTGTACAGAAAGAATTATTTTGAATTCATTAGTTCTGTGGATCTTTGTTAGTTTACAAAGTCTCCTTCATTGTAAATACTTGAAAGATTTCCGAAGATGATTTTCATTATAAATCAACATTAGGTAGATTGGTTATGGAAACGTAGAAGCATAGGATAATCAATTCGCCTTAATGTATAGACGTTTTGGTACTTTACTTCCTCAACATTTAGATCTATTGGTATACATGGTAATTATAAAGCTACACGCATAAAAATAGACCTAGATCCATTTCCCTTTCCTCTGGAATTCACATCTTGGATGAAATTTTATATGAAGTAAACCATCTTCTAATCTTTGCCACTTTAGGGTCGTGAGATGTAACCATCCAGAATAAAAGACATGCTGAAGTTAAAAGTACAAGATCATTGTTTGTGAGTAATGGGACCATTGAGTGAATTGTTTCTAGTCTAGATAAGTAGGATACATTATGAAGTGAGATGGGGAATTCGCTTCAGCTGAAATAACTAGAGTGGGAATAACGACAGTCAAGGATTTATCAGATTTGATTCGTGGTACTAGTTTCAATAGGATTAAACTAGAAAATGTTATGAGTGACCAAACGTTCGTTCATTAACTATCGTTTCGAGATGTTTAAAGAAAAAATGTAAGCTGCCTGAACATGGTTTACTGATCCATTTAGATCAGTAATTCAGAACCTTACACGGTATGCCTAACTGGGTATGTGATGTTAAAATGCCAATTATTTCAAGAAATAAACCAACAAAAATCTGTTTTGGTAGTTGAAACGACCTGAAGGATGACGTCACCTGACACTGCTTTTCCTGAGATATAATCCAACGAAAAAACTGTAAAGGTATAAATAATCAATTTGCGAAATGTTTATGCTCAGAAAAAATGTAGGTTGCGTGATTTTATTGGTCTAATGTGATTAATATTACGGTATCTATTAGTGAAGACTCGGGTGGTTGGTACGGATTTCTTAAAGGTTACGAAAATCTCTGTTTATGAATTTCAGTAAACATAAGTCATAGATTGTCGGCTCTCTGTTGATTACATCCAGTTATCAGAAATAATTTCGAGCTTAAGCTACTTTGGTGTAGAATTGTTACTAGATCTTCAACGATTTTGAATAAGTTGAGTAGTTTGTAAAGATTTTAAAGATCACTATCGTTTGTTCCATACTTTAACTCTTCAGATAGATCATTCCAGATGTAATTCTGGTTGGTTAACTTGATGATAAGGTGTGGAGTTTGAGCATCCAAAAACAATGGACTGTAATGAGACACTGTGCTAATTTATCATTAGCTTAAAACTCATAAATTTATATTAGTTGTCCGTTCTTAACGAAACACCTATTTACTCGAATGTTTCTTGATGATATAGTGTAAACTGATTCATGTTTTTTAATAAGGGAGTTCATGGAATTCCTTGCATTTTATAGCTTTCATGATAAACTGACTTCATGTAGACAACCGCTGAAAATTTTCTAAGCACTGGAAATCCCTTTCGTACTAGTATGTGATTCTACGATGGAACCCAGAAACTTCAGCTATGATCCACGATCTAGTGGTTTACATATCTTATTTCAATTAAGTTATTGTGATGAACAACCATGTTTCAGTTCCATTGCCTTACAGTTCACTTAACACGGCTCCTTACAACAGCTAAATGGTTGTGCTGCTATCAATCAATGATGTAAACTACAGGATTCTTGTTTTATTTAACACGTTGTGATAATAAAGAAAGCTACAAAATTACAAGCATTGAAACCATTTCATTGAAATTAATTTGATTTGTGACCACGAATTGCTTATCAGATAAAACTCATTAGATCATGATTGATAGGATGGTAAAAACAGTTAATTGTTTATTTTACGAACTAAAAATGATCAGTATGCTTGGTAAAATCTTGCTATTTATTCGTTCAGTAGCACCAAACAATGATACAAAATACAAAAGAATGATAAGTTATTCTTTGACTTGATTGTGTTATTGAGATCACTAACTGATTTAAGTTGCGAAACAATCATGAACCTGCGATCAATGAACAGACGTTTCGCTCTAGTTTAGCACTCTTCAGGAGTTTTCATATTCAGTAGGCCATTGATATAATTCCGATTTGGAGGAACGAATGGATATGCCATTAATATAAACTATCCACTTGACTTCGTTTATCACACCTAGGATAACGCTGTTTGTGCTACGGTGGTAATAAGAAGCCAAATACGAATTGAGTTGGATAAATTTATTTTAGGTACTCACTTATTTAGACAGAAGTTAGAAATGAAAAGTGGGAAAGAAAAGCATAGCATAGAAGGCTAATGTGCTGACTCCATTTGAGAAAGCATGACTCAATATTTATAGCCAGATAAATGTAAGCAGAATATATGTGGTCAATAGTGTAAGTGACACAAACACGTGCGCCCATGTAAAAACAGTCGCAAATATTATAGGAATAGCCGACAGCGTTAAAGTGTGACTCAAGAAGAATAAAATAATTGGTATGTCCGGAAGCCAGAATAATCCATTTGGGCCTAAAATAGTACTGGACACTACATATCCACATCTCTTCTATCAGGAATGGGACTAAAATTCGAGGAGGATACCTAACCATGTCAATAAAAAATGGTCGCTCAATTTTGTGGATTGGTTGGAGTTAGACATGTACACCACTAGATACTAGCTCAATGGTATAGAATTTAAACTTTCTCTCAATAAACCCATGATCCTGGATTCGGTTTTTGGTTTCAGGGTCGTAAAGCAACCCCATATTTGAATGAAACGGTTGTTCGGCGCTTTCAGGTTTTTTTTACTTTGACTGGTTCGTGATTTCAATGAAATTCGCCAATCTGCACAACCCCATACTGAAAATAACTTATCTATTTTCATAGATCCACTTATTTATTCCATTAATGATTACAAACATGAAAATCTTTGAGAGTCATCTCATCTTCAGAACAGTTTATAGAAAGAAGAATTCCTTGTTTTTGATGGAGTTTTGTTCTTTGAGCTGGATGGTTAGGTCGTGTAATGGGCAGTTGATTGGAGGTCTATATCTTACACTTGTTGATAGAACATGCTGGCGAAGACACTCATGGAGAAAATATAGTTGTTCTCGAGTGGAAGCCTGCCTTTTGACGAAATTCTCCCATTTTCAAACAACGAGAATCGTATTAGGCTCCACTTCAAAGGTTTCACTCGAGAACAACTATATTTTCTCCATAAGTGTCTTCGCCAGCATGTTCTACCAACAAGTGTAAGATATAGACCTCCAATCAACTGCCCATTACACGACCAAACCAACCAGCTCAAAGAACAAAAATCCATCGAAATCATCCACCTGAGCTACAAATCTTCTTCACCATCTTAAGAATTCCTTGTTTTTAAGTTATTAATTACTTTAAGATGTATACATCATCAATAGTAAATAGTATCAAAGCAACGAAATACTTTTTTTGGCGATTTTGATCTAAAATTTAATCTTATGATTAAAGAGATTATAAATATGGGAAGAAATTTCCAATTCATTAGTATTGAGTTACAAAAAAAGAAGAAGAAGAGAGAATTAGGACAAACCAAGAGTGTTTTCAGTCATAGCAGACAACTAATCATTTGTCTATGTATATAATTACGGACAAATGATATTTGGTTAGTAAATTATATATTCTTATGATTTAATCACTAGGTAAATAATAACTGAATTAAGTAAGCTGTTTGGTATGGTGGAGAAGTATTGTAGCTCAAGTGGATGATTTTGATGGAGCTATTTGGGTAATTCAAATAAATCTTTTATCTTAATGATAATCATAATAATTTTAATGTTAACAATTTCAGAACATTTGATCATACAATGTAATTGAAAGACTGTCACCTGAAGTTTGTATTGACGATGATGTCGTTCAGAAGAATGTCGAAAGTTCCACGACTAAACTATCCAGTTCGAAGAACAAAACTTCATCAAACAAGACTCCTAATTTAATTAATATTTGAAACGTGATCGTTGTAATGGAAAGTGTTTATATGTGTCTATGATTCCATTGTTTTCTTAACCAAATCC